CCGTAGGCTCAAGAAGCCGACTGCTGATTGCTCGACACTGATACTGCAAGACCGTGAAAGACGTTGCAACTTTATCACGTTGGTAATTTTTCGATAAGTTTTTCTTTCTTTCTTTTTTTTTCGACTCGCGAAATACCGTTCCGAGAACTGGCGTTCTTATCAGATGGTAAGTGATCGCGCCGTATCTGGCGACGAACAAAGCAAGGCTACGAAGCTTCGATTTAGTTTGCCATTAAAATTGAAAAATTACGCAAACAAACGCTCCTCCATTGTCTCTTTCGTTTTTTCTTCCCTCGGAATCGCTTATTTCAGAGGCTCTGATGTCAAACATAACCTCGAGCAATTGAACAGCTTCCCACTCTTAATTGCTTGGTCAATAGAAGAGGAATTTTTGTTACATAAACAGAGAACTAGAAATATTAGTCGATGTTAAAAATTAAGATTGTAATTAGGAATTACTATGTGGAATCTTGCAGAAGAAGAGACCATAAAACGTTCAGAGTCTACTCAAAGATGAGGAACAGCTTAGATGGAAAGTAACTTTGGTTTTCTATCATCTGTAGGAATATAAACTGTACCACGTGGTGCGTTAAAAATATCCAAAATATACCTCCTATTTCCTACCAGATTCATCATTCATGCATGACAGACTAGGTTTATTTGAACTCCACCACGCTAAAATCCTCTTTGAAAACATCTCTCTTTCTCTCTTTCTCTCTCACCAAAACAACAAACTGCTCCACACCACTTTCACTGGAATTCAATTTTTCTTTCTTCTGTTGTGTCACATCCCACAGCTTTACTCAACCAGAACACTTCACCCTGTAATTAGAAACGCTTCAGAGACTATATTGAAAGGAGCCAAGGCACTTTTCAAGGCCAAGAGTCGCAGGCGAAATCAGGCTTATACACTGAGAATGGCAACGAGCGAGCACTGGCCTACAGATCCTTTTTGGAAAGCGGTGCTAGCCGACTGACTAGCCACTATCACCGACTCCAACTGACTGATCCCTGTTGCTGTAGCCAGTCGAATGTTGGCTGGCCTGGAAGGACGTCTTGGC